ATAACATTAAACTATTCTTGCAAGAAATGCACTAAGGAATATTTAAGTGAAAGTAAAAGGATGATCCGATTGTCACTATCATGAAAACGTAAGGCAGTATAAAACTTTCTGGAGATACATTCACAGTCATACTTGTTAGACCTGGTTACTGAAATGGTGGCATGTAAATTCTTCAGATCTTCAGTGCAATGGTTAAAGGAGAGCATTCAGAGGGAGTTTGGATAATGGGCAACAAGTCAGTATGGAAGCAAATGGAGATAATGGTTATGTTGTACAGTACCTTGAGTAGGGCACTGTTCGCATAGTCCACTATATACTGTATGAAGTGATGGAAGAAGTTCCATCCCTGAAGACAAAGCCATGTCAAGAAAGGGGAAATGTTGAGTACTGTGTTTGAGTAGTACACGTTGTACTAATTACCATCTTGAGAGTGGATTAGTATCAATAGCTGTTGTCTATACTGAGAAAAATGTGGCTCTTCCACATTCTTCTTTATGAATTCTTGTTTTAGTGGAGCATTAAGCTTGTGATTATAAATTTCAAGCACATGATCGCCCAAATGAAAAGACAGATCAAAACTGAAGGGGTGGATCAGAGCTCTGGAGTGATGGAGGGTGAGAAGTATCATTATCTTTTGTGCCTGGCACAGTGGCCTAGCGACTAAAGTCCTCGCCTTGAATGTGCTGGGATTCCATATGGGCGCCAGTTCTAATCCTGACAGCCCCATTTCCCATCCAGCTCCTTGCTTGTGGCCTGGGAAAACAGTCGAGGATGGCCCAAAGCCTTGGATCCCTGCATCCTTTTGGGAGACTCAGAAGAGCTCCTGACTCCTGGCTTCGGATAGGTGCAGGACTGGCTGATGCGGTCACTTGGGGAGTGAATCATCGGACAGAAGATATTTCTCTCTGTCTCTCCTCCTCTCTGTATATGTCTGACTTTGCAATAAAATTAAATCTTTAAAAAAAGAAGTATCATCATCTTTGTGGAATGACATGTGTGAAATGTCAGTTCTTTTTATGCAAATAGATACATTTTAAAAACAATGTCACAAATCACACTAAATAAACCAATCCTAAACTTTTCTGAATATTTAATACTTCAGTATTTTGGGGTTTTTTTTATTTTTTCCTATGGGATAGTCATTTTCAACAAACTGATGTGTGGAATTGTACAACTTGAGTAAGAAGATATGTTTGGAATGCAGAATCATGAAATTACCATATAAAATCTTTGGCTTGGAGCTTTGTGGATAGGATTGTCAACCAAATCCCTGTAAGAAGTCTACCTTTCTTTGTCATGTTGGCTGTCATGTCCCATGTGCATCTGAGGATGCTGTCTGCTGCACAGGCATTAGAAACTGAGCAGGTCCAGTCTCAAGCATGCACTCCATGTTTGGACCACATGTCTTACGGTTTTCCCTGTGGCTTGTATTTGAGTTCTTTAGTCTACTTGGGGAATCTCCCAAGAAACATCAGCTGGGGTGACATCAGACTTGACTCTTGTGTGTACTAGTTAGTACAGATTCAGGTTTGATCTGTCACCACACCAGCCAATGCACATGGTGTTAGATGTAGCTGTCTGGTCAGTATACTGCCCAAGGGGTGCTGCAGTCAAGCCAGACCCAGCCCACTCATATACACAAGTCCATGCTGTGAGAGTGCAGGACTGAATTTTGAGCTCAAGTTGTAGCCCCTGTCATGGCAGCTGGTTGGGAAATGGATGTAATATATTCTCTGCATAACTGTATAACTGTTACTCTCTGCCTTTCCAAGAAGTACAACTTAGTTTAAAAAAATATACCAGCTTGTCTAAAGTGTAAGCAATACAGATACTTGGACATGTAATTCTGCAAAGGCCCCATTCAGCTCTTACCTGAGGTTTCAAACTTTTAGAAGCCAATCACTGAGTAAGGCTCTATAAAGCTAGCCAGAATGTGATATTTTGCACCACTGTTCTTTTATGGAAGTGAATGTGACTTGATAAAATCCCTTCAGAAAATGGATTATCCAGATTCAGATCCAGATAAAAGTACTGGGCAACAAGGTTGTGAGACTCCTTGCACAGTGGTGCATTCGGGGAGGAGAACAAGTACGACAATGTAAGGGAGGAATGATGGAATCCTGAAAGGGCTATTTAAAGTCCACCCCACCCAGCTGTAGCCAACTGCCCAAGATGCCTTGCATCTAGACAACTGACACTGCTGCATGAAAATAACCCATACCTGGCGGATATTCTGGGCCTGGTTAATTACAAATCTGTGTTATCTGTGTTAACTACACCAGTGTGCCAGTATAGTTGTTTGTTCTATTATTGTCCATCATTTGTAAAGATATGCGGGAAAGACTTGGGATACTGGTAGTGGGCAGCCTATAGATTGCCCAGGGATGGATATCTGGGGATGTTTTGGGGGTGGGGTCACTGAAAGACTCTTGTTTGACAGGGAGGAGTGGCTTCTGGGGACTTCCACAGATCCGACCAGTGCACTTGCAGTAAGATGAGGAAAGTGGGGCTGGGTGGATTAGAGGAAGGGAAACCAGAGGGCATGTCTGGGTCAGGACAAGACACTACCCATACATGGGAGACTTGGGCTGGAGTAAGTAGCATTTGCCGCTTCCTGGTAGCTCAGAAGAAACTTGGATCTTGGAGCATGTTCATCTGGGCTAAGCTGTAGCACCCATTGGTAAGAGCTGAAATGGGTGCAGGGCAGTCAGGCTGGGTTGAAGTAATCACCAGTGAGTATCAGCACTGGAGGTGGGCTATGTCACAGATTCGGAGTTGCAAGTATGCTTCATATGGGAACGTGGGGAACTCTCCTGCTTGGTTGAAGCTCACACCAGTGAGTGTGAGAGGTAGGGTGGCAGACAGGACAGGCAAAGCTAGGCTGTGGCACCTGTTGGCATATGTGTTCGCCGGGTCTGTGGGGAGAGTACTTCTAAGCCAGTTCCCAGCATACTTTGCATGATAGGGAGTCAGGTTAGGTACAGGCCAGTCCAGAAAACACCTGAAGATTCACATGAGAGCTGGAGCTGGGCTGGGGTTGATGGTGAGGGTGCACTGAACTGAACCACAGTTCAACACCTTTGGGTGAATGCAGAGCCTGGGAACAGATCATGCCAAGCTAGCTTGCAGTACCATCAGCACATGTAAAACCTGAGACTGTAAGTGGGTCTGGTGGAGTTACTTTCGTAACTCCATTGCTGCTCACTGCTTCCACTTGTGAGCATGCAAGCTGGGATTGGAGGCAGCCTGAGCTGCCTCATCTGCTGGCACATGTAATAATGCAGATCTGTATGTGCCAGCCAGGTAGCCCACGACACGACATACACTGGTAAATGCTGGACTGGGTACTAATCATGACATGCTGGACTAAAGTACACCCTCACTAGCACAAGGAAACGGGCCTGGCAGGGGAATTGTGCATACTCTGCTACTAGCTTGTATCTCCTGCTGTTAAGCGCAAGAATCAGGGATGGTCGCAGACCAGGTTGGAAAAGGAGGCATCACCCATCAGCATATATATGAACCAGGTCTGGAGGCAGGGATCAGGCTGAGCGAAGTCACAGTAAATGTTGGTGTGCATGAGAGCTGGTTAGGATGCAGAATGGACTGGCTTTGGTTGCAGCACATGCTGATACACACAAAACTCAAGGCAGAGGCAGGCCTGGTGTGGGTCATTTTAGGTTGCTGTAAATAGGCCATAGCACCCACTGCAATGCATCAAGACCCACCCTGTGGTGGGCTGTGCTGTGCTAGACCACAGCACTGATTAGTTCATATGAGAGATGCCACTGGGGGCAGGACTGAACAGGCATCTGCATCACCTGGTGTATGCGTTGGCTGTTTCAGGTGACAGACCAATCCCGGCACTTCACTATGTAGAACACATAAGAGTAAAGTCTGAGTCACCTCAGGAGAGCATTCCTAGTGATTCCCCATCTAGACCAGAGGACTCAAACCCCAGCTGCAGGAAAAATCACAAGCTATGTGGTCTGACCTTGGGGTGCATGTGCCAGGACTGGCCCTCCTAAGTTGCTGATGCCTTTGCAATGGACAGCATGTCCAACTGCACTGGGGGACATGATAGGGAGCTCACCTAGGCCAGCAAAGGATGTGGAGTGCCTCATTAGAGGATGCAAAGCAGAACAATTTGGAAAACTCTGCTGCCCAAGTTTGCAGCAAGTGTCTGGGTCTGTGGATGCACTAAGGTGGACTTGGTCAGCCAATAGATCTTGGACAGATTTTCTCAACCCTGCTGCAATGAACCCAACAATGTGTCAGGAATGTAAAAACCACAGCACTAACACCCTTGGATCATTCTTTACCACTTTGGTGTCCTTAAGGTATCATCAACTACCCATCCCCACATTTGAGTGTTATGGAGAGAAGACTGTTCCACGCTATGGGTGGAGAGCAGTGGAGAGCAGTCCTTCCTACTGTGCACCTGTGGGGCACTCCCTGCTCTGTCCACACAACACAAACATACATTTCAAATCTTGCACCTAAGACCACGGCCTGGACATTGATAGGCTGCACTAACTTCAACCAAGTGCAAGCACAGACAAACCTTGTTTTGTCACTATGGCTTTGTGACATCAGAGGGGGCCAGGCTGTAGGTAACACATCAACAGTAGCGGCCTTGGCAGAGTACCAAGGGTCTATCTGGCCATGCCAGCCAGTGCCATGACATCGCTGTCCCCAGCTTGACTCACCCTGTAACCAGCTGGGCTCCACACTGCAACATCCAACAGCACAACTTGCCTACATCCAGCAAGTGGCCCAACACCAGAACCTGGAACATCCATGCATAGACCGAGGCCACGCATGGACACGGAAGTGTGGTTAGTGATCACATGCTGTCCACTGAGCCCAATTCTATCAACACCAACAGAGTCCTTCATCCACCTATTAGCCCTCTACCTTCTCACCAGCTGTGCCCAGTACCCACGCCCAGAGCCCTGATCCAAAATACCCAGGTGTGTGTTGTTCGCAGATGTTTGTTCATGGATACTGGCATGGGCACAAGCACTGGCACCAAGACTGAGCGCCTAGTGGGAGGTCAATACAAAATGCTCAGGAAGATCGGGTCAGGCTACTTTGGCAATGTTTATCTGGCCATTAATATCATCAGTGGAGAAGAAGTGGCCATGAAGGTAGAGCCTCAATATGGCAGAAGCCCAAGGCTGAGGGTCGAGAATGCTGTATATAAACTGCTTCAAGGAGGCATTGGCATCCCGCGCCTGCAATGGTTTGGGCAAGATGGTGGTCAGAATATTATCGTCCTTGACCTTCTGGGACCTAGCCTGGAAGACCTCTTCGAGTTTTGTGCCAGAAACTTCTCAATGAAAACCATTCTTATGCTGGCTGATCAAATGATTGGTATCCTGGAGTATGTACACTCCCAGAACGTGTTACACAGAGATATTAAGCCTGAGAATTTTTTGATGGGAATGGGAAGGGAGTGTAACAAAGTTTTTCTGGTTGACTTTGGTCTTGCTAAGAAATACCGGGATAATAAGACCAGACAACACATACCATACCGAGAGGATAAAGGCCTCGTTGGCACCATTCGATATGCCAGCATCAACACACATCGTGGCATCGAGTACAGTCGACGAGATGATATGGAATCATTAGGATATGTCCTCATATATTTCAACAGAGGCAGCTTGCCCTGGGAGGGACTAAAGGCTGATAATAAGAAACCAATACATGAAAAAATTGGTGAGAAGAAGATGTCCATTCCAGTTGATGATCTTTGTAGAGGGTTTCCTTCAGAATTTGCTACTTACCTGAACATCTGTCGCCAGTTGGGCTTTGAGGAAACACCTAATTATATGTATTTCAGGCAAATTTTCCAGCTTGCATTTAGAAACCTGAATTTTCAGTACGATAATGTATTTGATTGGGCTGTGCTGCCACCCAGAACTCCTCATCTGGCGTCTTCTTCCAAGGTGTAGATACATCACGCCTATGCCATTGCAGGAGAGCAAGATAAAAAGGACGAGAATGACAAGATTTCTGAACACAAAGGGGCTACCTAGAAGCATAGCATGGCATCTAGCAATCACTTTCATATTCAACCCACCACTTTTGGATCATCAATGCAGCAGTCAGCCAATCCACATGGACAATTTTTCAAAAAGAGTAATACCTTAGTTCACCGTAACCTGGCCCTGGGGAGCAGTGTTAAGGCCATGTTGCAAGGTTTAAGCTGCTATTCTATCATTACTAAATGGAGATGATGAGGCATGAGATCTGCTTTTCCAATTGTTTTCTTTCCTAAGTGGGAACATTAAGTAAATACACATTGATGTGACTTGTGTGAGCATATTGTGCATGTTAACTGGTTTAAATCTTTTGTCTTGAGCAGTGAGGCCTTGATAGCTCATTGCAGAGTGGCACGGCCCTCTTCTGGCACAGTTTTGATGTTTGTAGATGCTCATGATTGTGCATTCCTAGGGTGATTTTCATCCCTGGGGTGTGGGAGGTGTTTGCATCAGGCCCTGTGAAGCTAGTAGGTTTCTCCTTTGCAAGCCAGCTGCCATGATAGCAATTGAAGATTCCAGTGTTTGGGAGAATGACAGATTTTGTTTGCTTACCTGAACTAGAAATAACAGCTTCCCTAGTGAAGAGTTAACTTGAACTTACTGTCCAGTGGTGGTCCTTGAGACTATGCATTAACTCTGTTAATGTTCCAGGTATAGAAATGAAATCATGTTTGCCACAAATATGGCTAATAATTTCATCAACATCCTTATTTAACAGACTGAACATATATGTTGCTAGATAAATGTAGTTACTGCAGTATATTTATTGGATTGGGATTTTACTTTAATTTTAAATTTAGCCTTTTTAAAATTCACAACATTCACTTCAAACTTAAACCTAGTTTGTAAAGAAGAAATGGGATATGAGCAGCAAAACAACACACTGCTTTGCTAGCTCAGTATGAAATATAATTGTCACCAAATTTGTTTCTTATTAAAAGTTATGTATTTGAATGGCATATTTATGGAGAGGGAGAAAGATCTCCCATCAAAAGGCTGAAATGGCCAGTGCTGGTTTGGTTTGAAGTTGTGAGCAAGAAATTTCTTTGTGGTTTCCCAGTGAGTACCTAAAACCAAACACATAGACCATTCTCTGCTGTTTTCCCAAGTGCACCAGCAGGCAGCTTAATCAGAAGTGGAGCATCTGAGACTCTGTCTTCTGTATGTAATGCCAGCACTGCATGTAGCAACGTTACCTGCTAAGCAACAGTACTGGCCCTAGTCCCCAATGTTTTGATAGAGTATTTCAAATAAATACAGACTGGGGATTTAAGGGCAGATTTGGCTTCATAAATGGCTTAATTCATTCATGGATTCATGACAGTTTGTCAAGTGAGTGAATTCGTTATAAATTCAGCCCTCAGCAGCGGGGTTTAGTGTGCTAGTCAAGATGCCTGTATGCCACATGGAAGTGCTTGAGTTTGATTCCTGGTGTAAGTTCCAGGCTCCTGCTTCCTGCTCATGTGGACTCTCAGAGGCAGCAGCAGTGACAGGAGTCACTGGAATCATGTCATCCATGTACAAGGCCAGGACTGCATTGCTGACTCACAGCTCCAGCCACAGGCACAGCAGGCATTTGGGCATGAATTCATAAGTGGGAACTCCGCTATGTATCTGTGCCTCATTATAATAGCAACAGTAATAATAATGGTAATAGTGGTAGTCATGTAATAAAATGATAATGAAGATGGTCAAAGCAGTATACTGTGGCTAGGTTGCACTGTCTCCACTTGAGATCCCCTGCACTGCCTTGGGACTGTCCAGTTACCCAGCAGCAAGAAGCACCTCAGCACAGACAGCCACTTGATGGTGAACTTTCCAACCTTCAGGACTGGGAATGGAGAACATCCTCACTTTGGCATGTCACTCAGTGTGTAGTAACCAGTCATGACAACAGACTGCTGGGCACTTTACCGAAAACTAGTAACATGTCCTGTTGCAAGCAGAAGAAATTGTGACAGCAATAACTTAAATGAGAAGACAGTTTTTACTCTCAACCTACTTAGAAGTCTGCCGGTCAGTCACTGATATGATTTTGGCAACTCAGGCTCTCTCTCTTTTCTTGTTTGTTTTGTTTTTTGCTGTACTACGTCTATTGAAAGATTCACTTCTGGTTTTTGCAGTGCAGGCTGGTGGCTGGACTAGCAAAACTGCAAAAGAGCTGCACGTTATTTGTGCCAGGCACTGAGGCCCGTTGATCGCATTTTTGTTTTGTTTTTGAGTTCTCACAAGGGATGAGGTTAGATTTAGACTGACCAGGTTATGAGACAAAGAACAAGACAGTGTGCCCCTTAGGACATGCATGAATGGGAATCCAGCAGTCCAGCCCAAAGCATTCCAATGCAAACTTGCATTCCTTCTGCCAGACCTAGAGTCTCCTAAATGGAATCTCTAGATGATACTGGCCACCATGTTATCTATGGGAGAAATAAATGACCTCATGATTTCAGTGACTGGAATTCTGTAGGGCCAGTTTCACCACTGCCGCAATTCAGTGAGTTAAGCTAAGGAAGGTAACTAGCAGAATGGGGCCTTATTCTAGATAGCATCTACATCAGGTAACCCCTTGAGGTCTCAGTTTCAAGTAGAGACAGCACATTAGATGGGGCAATCAAGGAAAGGTCCTCTGAGAAAGTGACTGTTGGGAGGGAAATTTGCACTCTGCTTTCTGAAGGTTTGATAAACATGTTGAATTCTGAACTTATGCAGAGAAGTCCCACAGATGGGAGACTCCAGGAAGAATCAGCTGGTTGAAGCTTACCTAGTGTCCTGACCTCGGAAGAAAAACGGAGCTTTGTGTTTATGAGTTAGCAATAGCCACACTTCTTATGAGAGTGCAAAGAGAAGAATTTAATGTTGGTTGATGTGGTCCTGTAATGAAGATAATGTCTCTCAGATGTTACCCGGGAGCAGTCTTTACAGTTTGTCTTGGCTTCCAATCTCTTCTGTGATCTTCTGGCCAGTGTTCCCTGGTTGATGAAATCCCTGGCAGATTATTTATGACAATCACATTTATTCTGTAAAGTTTGTCATTAGGTGAGATATGTTCAGTCAAGCTGCTTTTAGGCAAGTATCTTCATTTGAAGCAATCTGTAAGGCATATTGGCTTACTTTGGAGGGATATATTCTGAAAGCCCTAATTTGTGAAATGAAAATGCAAGAAGAGAATACGACAGATAGGCAGCATGGGTGCAGTGCCCTAGCCTGTGGAAGCCCCCAGAAACCACCCCATATATGCCAAGCAAGCCCTCAGTGGCCACCACACTGATCTGTCCCAAGTCCCCTGACCCCTAGAAATGCACGGTCCCCTCCATACATGTAGTGGCCATGACAGCTGTGTGATGGCCCAGGCTAGTGTGCACCCACAGTTGTATGGTGGGCACTCTGCTTCTCCCCAGAAATTTAAGGAAAAAAATAGCATCTATGCTGGCACGCTGATACAGCCAAAACAGAGTTGCCATTGATGAGGCACAGAATGCCCGCCAGCTGTTGACTGCTTTTCTCCCAGCAGTGTAACACTTGCCTAGGTGCAAGGCAACCTAGGCTGCTGTCAAAACCACAGGTTAAATGGGTATTTATCAAGTGGGCTTTTTCCAAATGAGAGCTCCGACCAAATGATGTTCACCTCAGACAATGCTTTATTTAAAATCAACGATTTATTTATTTATTTTTATTCCACAGTCAGATATACAGAAAGGAGGAGAGACAGAGGAAGATCTTCTGTATAATGATTCACTCTCCAGGTGGATGCAGCAGTCGGAGTTGAGCTGATCCAAAACCAGGAACTTGGAGCCTCTGCTGGGTCTCCCATGCAGGTGCAGGATCCCCAGGCCTTGGCCATCCTCGACTGCTCCCCCAGGCCACAAGCAGGCAGCTGGATGAGAATCAGGACCACTGGGATTAGAACCAGTGCCCATATGGGCTCCTGGCCTGTGCAAGGCAAAGACATAGCCGCTAGGCTATCATCCCGGGCCCCACCTTAACAATTCTTTAGATTTAAAATTTAAAGATGACTATTTTGAGTTTGAGACTTCTGTTTGGAAATTTCAAAGATGTGACTCAATCAGGAACCACCATAACTCACCTTACACTATCTAAAATACATTTATGAATTACAAAACAATGCCATACTTATGTTATGCTGATAAAAGTCTCAAGTTTCATTGTGTACATGGATCAATCACTGCTGGTGGGATGTAATTTCAGAGTAGAACCCTTCCCCTATGGTTGTATACTAAACATGATTGGTCCTTCATGTTAGTTTGCACAATGGTGGAGGATTGTGTGGGTATAATGGTCTCTTCCTGGTCTCTGTGATCTGATATTGCCAGGTTAGCATTGAAAATGTGAAAGCGCCTGCACTACTCTGCAGCACTTCCATCCTTGCTTACCATACCCTGCTCCTTTGAGGTGCTTGGCGTAACCTGACAGTAAGGGCTAAATACTCAATGAGGAACAATGTTGTTTGTTACATAAGAGTTAAATATTGGGACTCCTTTGTCTCAGGGAGAAGATTAATTCTGTGAATGGGATGTTACTTGGCATCCATACAGATGCAGCAAGGCACATACATTTGAATAGTAAAGAGCAGTGATTTTGAACAAGAGTAAATGGATGCTTTTGCTCTACCAAGGATGGTAGACTCAGTAAGTGGGATGGAACGGTTCTTTATAGTTGTACTGACAAAGCTTCAGGCTAGCTAAATATTGAGTGGTCAGGCGTTGCCAGATCAAAACAACGATCAAAAGTGGGCAGTCCAGTTCACAAAGAGAGATCATTGAGATGAGGCTATGTCATTAACACTAACACTACATTAGCCCCAAATCCTGAAATTTGGTTTAAGTAGTGCTACTATAGGTCAGATTTCCTGAGTTACATGGAAAGAACAAATTAAAAAATAAATTCAGGAA